CAGAAGAAACCCTCAAAGGTTTGTCTTTCAGGTGAGAGTTGCCAGAGCGATATAACAAATACACTTCCCAGTTACAGATATTGATGTTTTCTCTCATTCATGAAGGCTGTGACACAGACTGACATCTTACTGCCGCAGAAACACTACCCAACCAACACCCTTCCAACACCCTCGACACTGCGTACCATGGCAGATCAAACACAAACCCGCATCTTACAAGAAGATTATTCTGTAAAGCAAGCAGTGTGCTGTCCCGAATTCTGAAACACTTTATAAAAAGTTGGTAAGACCTCCCGGAAATGCAGCCATGTCTCTTCATTACTCTCTACATCCTCCCAGTGAGGATGCAGTAGACTGCTATGACTTTAATATCTGCTGCTGACAATATCACAGGTGTACTCTTCCCTTTCTGGTTTCATCTACCTCTCAGGTCTCAGTGAAAACTGGCAGAAGAGATGGTTAGAAAGGAAACACGACGAAGAAAGAACAAGCAAGTAAAGGTGTTTTAGAGCTAGGAATTTTTTCCTTTCTACTTTTTAATTTTTCCCTTTTCTCTTACTCTGGTAGCCACCAAATGTTGGTAACACCCTGCTAAACTGCTCCTAGGATGAAAAAAACCCCAACAAAACAGTAGCCCTTCCAAACCCTCCCAGATACATCAAGTAATTCTTGAGAGAAATTCACTGATATAATCCAAGAAGATTCTCATATCCTCACCTTAGGAAAATAGGAATCATAAAATGGACTAACATATTACAAGCTTTACCTCTGAATTCATCCTGTTACGATATCAGAAAATCCTAGAAGCAAAACAAGAAGCTGCAGCCCCCCTGAAAGTTGAACTAATGAACTTTTTGCAAAGTGAGTTGACCAAAATTAGCATCAAAACCAACAAAAGCTTCTGCCATGCACTGCACTGCCATCTTCCTGCTGCAGGCAATACTTATTCCCCATGGAGAATCCCTGTGGCTGTGCTCGTTTTTTCAGTGCATGGAGCCAGTCCCACTCCTTTTGATTTTGACAGGATCAACCCTGGAAATAAAACCTTATCTTGCCCACCCTTTCCAAAGGTGAGATAGGAGTAAGGCATATTTTTGCACTTTAACATATAAAGTCCATAACAATTATATCAAAAATCTTGCTAGTAACTGAGATGGTTCTTGGTGGAAAAATCCAGCTTCTCCAACTAGCTTTCACAGTGATGAAGTCAGTCATAAATACTGAATTATCCACAGTTCATTAATCCATCTAAAATAAATTTCAACTCAGTTTTATAATTCTCATTGCTCACAAACATATATGTAGAATTGGGAAGCTGTCACTAAATAAAAATATCCTAATTATGAGTGGATATATATGGATATACATATATAAGTATAGGTATACATACACACACAGAAATAAAGTTGAATGCAATAAACCAAAACTTCAAAAAAGGTGAGCTTAATGGATAGTTGTTAAGTGGGCTAACACTTAAAAGTGCAAGGAGAAAAACTGAACATGAAAAGACTCTTGTTCTCCTATTTTATATGATAGGAAATAATGAATCATGGTATTACAATGATTACTTTAAATGCATTGAAAAATAAGGTTATAATTTTGGAAAAGTATTTTCTCTCAGGAATTCTGCAAAGCCGTATCAAACTCCAAAGATTTTGCTGCTTCTTTATTTGACAAGGCTTTAATGGTGTGTGTTAGGGACCTTGACTCGATCAATCCCCAAAGGAGAGAATACAGATCTCAACTGCTGTAGCAGGCAAAATAGGTATCAAAAGCTCTTGAGACTGAATTCCTACACAATTTGCTGTCCTTCTATGTTCTAAGAAAGAAATACTGCCACAATACTCTTCTATGATATTTCTGCACTTTTTTTCTAGTTCTAATTCTGTGAATAAGTTGAAAAAAACTTAAACACGGCAGAATAAAGTAAGAAAAAACCAAGACACTCTCAAACTGACACAAATAACCATTAAAACAAAGATTTTTTTTTTAGAAAAAGCAAGAAAACAATGCAAATCTGCATTTGATAATCTATATGTAAAACTGGTCGGTCACTGTACCTTCATTTTCCTCTTACATACTTCACATCAGAGAAAGCAAGATCACACATAATACCTTTCCTGTCAGTGCTGTTGCTTAACTAGTCAACATCATGTGGAGCTTATGATAAAAAATAATTGAGTTGGGGCCTTCAATCTCTGAAGAGAGGCATCAACACGTAGGATATTCTCAAAAGATATGGGTTTCATATACTGTGAATGGAAAAAGGGACACTGAGATATTCTGCAGAGAAGGACTACACAGGACTTCGGTCTCAACTTAAACTATAAATGCTACTTAGTCTATAGTGCATGCTTCCATTTTTTTAAAATGTTTATAAGAAATTGGTAATATATCTAAATATATGTAAATTTTAAGTAGCATTCCCATTATGTGGCACTTTTTTTCAATAATGACAGTTGGCACACGAAACTTAGAAAACTTTTTTCTCCCATCCTTCCCAGAATAGCCAAGGGAAAAACATATGACATGTAATACAGAACTTCTGCATTGCAGGTGCAACAGATACACAACCGTGACAAAGAGTCAAAAAAATCCACCAACAAGACAGTAATAGAAAGAGATTGGTTAAAAGTATTTTTCTACAAACGACAGTATTTAAAATATTTTGCATGCAGTATTTCTTCATCTTGATCCTCAGGGAGAAGAGACACTTCTCTCCGATGCTTTGTCTTCTTATTTTCAAATGCATTAGTCTCTAAGGTGAAAACAGGCCATTGCTAAGACAAAAATGTATTGTCAATGTTTTCAATACATTAATACGAAACAATCAAACCTGTGTTACAGCACTGATGTTTTGAAATCACTACCTTTAAATTTGCATTAGATTACCAAATATTACTACTTTTCGACTTGACAAAAGTGTAAGTTGAAAACCATTTTGTAGACATAAAAAAAATAAAAGCTTCCACTGAGTTTTCTAATGTGTCCCATCTCCTTGTCACTAATGGGCCACTCATCTTTCATTCTCCGCATGAGGACGCGTAAGCAGTACATTCCAAAAACACTCGTTTCCTTACCTTACACAAGGTAAAGGGACAGATTGAGACACTCTCCCAAGAAATTTTTAAGTGAAATACACCCAAAACATAACAACATTCACAGAACAAAATTCAGAAGTACTTAACAAGTTGCCAATAACTACAGGAATATATGAAGTCATCAAGTCCAAAAATCTTGCCACTAGTGGCAATGAAGAATACACAATCCTGCAAAACATTAAACATGTGGATTACATTTTTCCTTATACATAATCTTTTATTTATATCCATGAGACTGATCACAACCTAAGCAATCTGTGTTGCTCAAAAAGAAGACTTGGGAACAAAGCAATTCAGATTCCCACTGGCGTGACAAAAATATCTTATTAGACCTGAGGATGTTGTAAGGGTCGGGTTCACATCTATTCAAAGTTTGGATCCAGCCATCTCTTCTTATCTTGCCTTGTACTTTCCATTCCTTTCCCTTCTCCAGATGACACCATTCATTTAACTTGGACCATTTCCAGAATAATACATAAACACAGTGGCTGCCAGAATTTGTTCATATAGAGTCCCTCCCTGTGCAGAATAACCCGTCAGGAAACTGGTACATTTCCTGAAATCTGTATTTCTTTCTGAAGGACAGAGAACTCACTTCAGAAACAGTGCTGGGCAAGAATGTACTCTTAACTGTACCAACACATTAAAAAAGTACTGTTCATGCCATCATACTGAAATGAACTCCCCACATGAAGTGATGGAACTGGGAAGTCAGCAATGCATTTTCTCTAATACCTCTAGGTTTTTTCTTCTAGTTTTCTTCCTTCTGACAGCAAATATTGCATGTTTTCCTGCAACAGAATTTTTTTATTTTGAACAAAAGAAAATATATGTTTTAGATGATAGTGCTGGGGCTTCCAGCAGACATTTTATGAGGAGGAATTTTCTCTTTGTCTTGACATTGACATTCAAGATTAGTTCCATTTTTTCTTCCTAATTAGCTTTTCCAAGACAATTGTATATTTGAAACAAACAGAATACTTTCCCTCAGGGCATCAGAAACTTAATCTGTCCAATTTCCTTTCAGTGGACATTGAAAACAATTCAGTGGGGAATTAAGAACTAAGTGACGTAAAAAATGGAAAAAGCACCACAGAGACGGCAATAAAAGTATAGTAATGAGAAATCCTTTAAGCCACCTTGTTAATACCTGACAGAACTGCCTGTTCATATTAAAGTCTGTTTGCCTTTCAAAGGAGGTTAAGACACTAAATTTACACAAAACTCAGGATTTTTATATTCACAACAACACACTGAGTGATTAGCATTAAATCATTTGGAATATCTTAAACAATCTGAGGACTTTCCAATCACTCTATCCAGCAGTCTTCTTTGTGACTCAAAAGATTTTTTCTTAAACTTTGATCATTCTACAAAGATATAGTCCCTCACAGAACTGATATCTGAAATAAAAAAATCAATAATGCTAAGCATACAATTACAAGATTATGGTGATAAACTGTAAAGCTGTTAATGACTTTTTAGATGGAAGTTACACTTGTAAGTTTTATCAATAAAAGTAACATTCTGGATTCTGATCAACAAGTCATTAGGAAAATAATTGCAGGTCTTTATTTAAAAATTCTGGAGAATTTAATTGAAAATAATAATCTTTGTGGTGAATTGCACACTACCAGTATAGCCTACCAGAAAAAGAGCTCTACAGAATGCTTTTTTAGGACTGCTAACAGGCAGACTTTCATACACAGTACACAGTAATTTCTACTGTATCCCATTTATAGATATGCTGCATACATACATGGGTACACAGCTGTGTGTACTATATGTATATACATATATAGACATTACAGAACTTCTTAAAAGTGAATAGGCATCTCATTCCTGTGTAGATTTCAACTTCAGCTGTGCCTCTTAAACAGAGTTCAGAAAGATACTTACTGATGTGTAGAGGAAACCTTCTCCATTTAGGGCTATATACAACCCAGTCTTTACACCCTGGATAGCAACAACTCGAAGTCCCACTGGTATAAGGTTGAATAACGCTGTGAAGAAAAAACATGACCAGATATGAATACACTATGGTTATTACAATATTCTAATAATCATCATTAGTAAAAAGAAAGAAAACTACTCCCTGTATAATTTTTTCTGATTTTAAATTTAAACTAATTCAGAAAATCTTGCTTCTAGTAAAGTTAATCCTTAAAATTAAAGCGTAGGTATCTATCTAGTAATAAATCCTGCAATAGTTCAGTATTTGGCACAAGTGCTAACTAGCAAATACAAAGCACAGCAGACTGGACCGTAATCATTTATGCAGCACTGCAGACGTGAGTATCTCAGGCAATCTGAAAAGAGTCAAAGAGCCCAACAGTTCCTTCATCAATGTAGACTGATTATAAGAGTAATACTTGTGAGATACCCTGCAGAAAACATCTCTCTCTGATTCTGGCAAGTAGCTTTTTATTTTCTTAGGCATTTTTATGGTTTTGGATTAAGGTGTGCTCTCATTAAAGATTGCTTTCAAGTGGTCTGTGATTTCAAATAATTTTTCTTTTTTGCTTTTGTGAATGATATATTTGATACAAGCAGTAGTACACAGGCCTCAGGTAATAGCAGAGGCTTATCCTAGTTCAGAAAAGCACTGAAATATGTGCTTGACTCTAAATGTGCATAAATGCTATTGAGCTGAATATAGAACATATTCAAAGAAATTCGGGGGGCTGGGGGGGAACTAATTAAAAAACGAGCTTCTAGCAGATACACTAGCAATGGTATATACCTCTGTAATAACAAAAACAGCCACAGCTTTGATTAGCGTCTGAAAAAGACCAGCGTGAAGAGCAGGAGTTTACCAGCCTCATCACAGAACATCAAAAGAAAAAGTGATATAAGTAGGAGACAAAGACCAATTCTTCCAAAAATCACGGCACCACACACCTATACTAAGTTTACTGACTCATACTAGGAAATCAGATGCAAAGCACACATCAAACAGTCTTGGAAGAAGAGATCTGGATGAGCTAAGTGTTTTCCCACTGTGGATGAGTCAAGGATTTACAAGTCCTTGGATGAAAACCAAAAGCGCAACCTGTGTGTTCAACATATGCAGCGAGGACCATGGTTCCACCAAGCCAGGTCTCAGGAACACAGTAACACTTACAGTGAGTTCCTCAAAATTTAGGAAGGACATCCATAGGTGTGACCAGCAAGTGTACCCTATGAGGCTATCTGTAATCAGAATGCCAGGGGAAAAGCCCAAATCAAGAGAAAAAGGGTCATGTAATTGCAGTGGCTAAGTACATTTTCTCAGGGTGTGAAAACTCCTAGTTAGTCAAAGGACACAAAGCCACAGATTGTTTATGATGAAGATGATGATAAAATCTTTTCAGAGAAAAAAACTTAGGTTGACTACTAGAATTTAGAGATAGATGTGGATGGAAAAAAAACCCCTTTCCTTCAACATTGTCATGCAGAAAAAGAATATGTAACATAAAATCTTTTTAGGAATGCACAAAGCCAGGATAAAGCTGGGAATTGTTGTAGCAGAGCACTTCCTACAGCTGTAGAAAGAAAAACATATTCAGAAGAGCTCTGAAATAACAGAAAACAAATTTATGGGTTTACAAAGAAGAACAGAAGAGATGACATCAGACAAGAATTAGCACAAATATATAGCATTTTCACTTCTGTAGTTTCCAAAAGTCTCCGTCATGCTATGATCTTACTGGGCTGTTCACTAGAAAAATACTGAGTACAGACAAGGTCTCCTCTCTAATTTATACAGGATAAATGTAAATAAGTGAAATACGGCACTCACGGACAAGGTATCCTAAATGTATATAGGCTAAACACTGCATGACTTGAGGGCTTTCAAATGTTCAATTTAATTTGGAAGTTAAAAAAACAATCAGCCATTACCCTCAAATGAAACAATGTCAAACCCAGCAAAATCACTATTGTGGGTAGTGGAGGGGGAGTTTGTCACAGCAAAACTCGGTTTCAGATGGCAGTTAAATTTGCTTTTTTCTAGAAAAAAGGAAATTCCAGGAGGAAACCTGGATATGAACACCATGCTAGAGGGAGGGCAGCAACAATTGAGGGGACACCAGGAAGGAAAAACAAAGAATACTTGTATAAAGAAAAGAGGTGAACACAAAAGACAAGTCAGCCATGGAAAACTGCTAATGAAAAATAACTCCAAATCATAGTGGTTCAGTCAAAACTTCTGGATCGTGGATATAATTTGCTGTATTACCAATAAAAATAAAGCAGCAAAGCTAGAAAAAAAACCAACCACCACTGAAGGAGAATTAGAGGCCTGTAACATGGCAGTGTTTTATGCAACCTATAAAATTACTAGAGCAGCTTATAGTTGCTGGTGAACTTGGAAAGCACCGAGGAGGGCATATAATGTATCTTTTACTGCCACCAAGTTTTAATCGGAGATTGTCAGAGCTCCTGTAATTAGTCTAAGACCATAAAATTTTAGAGTGTGATCTGAAATGCTGTAATTCTTCACACACAGAATATTCAGTAACTTCCACAAAATCTTTCAGACTTGGGCAAAACTAGGGAGGCCAATCTACATTCAGTTATTGATTGATAAATGCTCAGCAATGTGCTTCATACTGGGGTCAGCAAAACATGCACCAGTAAGGCACAGCATGTGGTTTCCACATGCTCTGAAGCTGGCCAAAGGAAATTCAATTTCCTCCAGAACCTGGCTGTGCAGTACTCTTTACTGATCAGGACTTCTGTGTCCAATTACACATTTTAAACCTTCCTAGGATTCACCTGTGCTATCTCCCTGCCTCGAGAAAAGCAGAAAGCCCTCCAGAGTTTGTTGGCATTTCAGGTCAGCACAGCCAAAGCTATGCCCTTACCTGAGGGGGAGTGTGAAAAAGAACCACGCCCCCAGCTTCCCTCTATCTTAAACACAATGATCCAAAACCAAAACTAAGTGGGGATTGAGGTCCCTGAACATCTTTATGTACCTAAACCCAGCCCAGTGAGTCCACAGATGAGTTGAGAGAGGGAGTGCCCTGGAACAGCCCAGGAAATATAATTCTGCCTGGTGCTCAATGCTCCCATGCTGCACGCTTAACTATAAAGCCTGGCAAATCCAACTTAAATAAGACATGGGAACATCAGGGAAATCAAGTGAACCAATTGGCAAAAATGGTGTGAGTAAACCCCTTTCTCCTGGTCAGCGCTGAGCCTGTGCACGCTCCCTTAGCTCTGCTTTGTATTCCGTCTAAACCACGTCTGTAAAGCAAATGGTTTCTCTTCCTTTTCCTGAGCCTGCAAGCCTGCTCCCACCACACACAAGATCAGAAAATGGGGGCTGGGGGCAGTTAACAGGAACAACTGGCATGAAAAAAGTTATTGTTTTAGGTGTCGTGGAGGGGATTTGCAGGAACAAATTTGGGTTGGATTCTAATCCTCCAAAAGTTTTAGCCAAAGTTAACATCCACTTTTTGATAAGTAATAACTCCTTCCTTGAGCAAAACACAAAACCACCACATTTCTTCTTCCTTTTTTCATGTAATACCATCACAGTCTATCAACTTGAAACCTGCAATGACAGAAATTAGATATTTCCATACTCTTGTGAAAGTCTATTTAGGTACGACTGACTTGTAGCTACAAGAAAATTGCCATTAGAGATCACTGTTTTTCTCAAGAAGCTTGCTAGAGACCAGTTGCTTAAGGCTTATAAACTTGCTGTCTGTTCTGCATGTGCACTGCCCTTGTGCCAGTTAACAAAACTTTCCACAGCACGAATCTGCAATCAGATCAAGGCAACTATTTCTTTAATTTATTTACATCTGCAGGCCCACAGGCAAAAATGACGACTCTGTCAGAACATCTTTTAGATTGGCAATGAGTGCAGCGAGGTTGGTATTGAGAGATCCCTCCATTCATTTCTTATGGAGCAAACCCATTCTACCTGCCTGATGTTACACAAGACATAATTAAAACGTACTTTTTAGTATGGCTGAACATGGCCTCCATCAATCCTGTCACACTGACTAAAATTATACTGATGGGAGAAACAGGCTTACCTAACTCCCAAAGGTGACGTAAATAGATGACTAAATGCCTGTTTATTTCTTTGAAGACAAACTGCAGTAAAAAACAGTGCAAAAATCAGACTGCAAATATTCCAGTTCAGTAATCCAAATTTAACAGCATTGCAGGTGTTGTTTTTTAATCTTCATGTGTTTTATTTCTCTCTAATTATCTCCTTTATCTTACAAGGGTGCTGTGAAGATTATTTTATTAATATCTTCAAACCCAAATATGATAGTGGTAGGTACTTTAGAAAGACATTAAAAAGTTAATACTTCCATATTCAAATTGGAAAATATAAATAGAGCATTAGGAACATGCATTAAAAGATGATAATAAAGGAATGTTAAATGGTTGCATGATTTCTTGACCAGCAACTCTACCAGGTACCAAGTGCCATGAAGGAAGTAAAGCATGTTTAATTAAGCGAGAGATGTGCACAGCACAGCCAAGTCAAAGTTGCTTGGGTAATGTTAACTTCGGCATTTATCAGTTTATGAAATAAGACTAAAAATGAGTAATGCTCTTTTAATCTGTTTTAAATATGACTGTAATTTCATAAGGGGCACAAATAGCAAATTTGAGTGTTAAAATCAGGTTTATCACCCATCAAGGAAGGTATCATAATTGATGTTGAATTTTTTCTGTCGTTGTTGGCTGAGATTCACTCCTCAAGTGAATCAAAATAAGGCATAGGGCTAAGAGATTCAGGGTTTCAATCTCAGAAATTAAAGAATCAGAATTGCCTGTTTCCCAACTTAATTAGTCTTCCTACTAAACCTACCCTTCAGTCACAAGACAAAACTTTGAAATAGACCAAAGCCTGAAAATGAGCCATTTCGGGTGGGGAGGGGGACAGGAGGGGAATGTAACACTTGTTACCACAAGCACAACATGGAAATCTCTTCTATTTCTTTATAGTTTCTGTGTAGTAGCTTGTTTTTCCTAATTAATAACGATGAAGCCCATGGACAACACTGAAGCAAGTTCCATTCGCACCAAGTAATGCTGAGAACTGCTGTAAAATCCAGGAAAATTAGAGCTAGAGAGGGACAGCTATGCTGAGTAGGACCTCAGTAACCAAGCCTACAGCTTTAACCACAGTCACTCCAGCTTTCGCTGCAAGCAAGTCACAAAACCAAGCCAGAAACTGTAAGGCATTAGAGGAAGGAAAAAGAGAAAACCAGCTAAAACAAGAAAAGCAATGTAATAAAGCCTCTTTTCACATATCACTGAGAGTTTGGCAAAAAAATACAGACTGTACACACAACATGGTTTAAGCTAACAGCCTTGGTCTGGTGATGTGATTTAAGGAAACCAATAGGTGCATTAATTCATACTCTGTCACAAAACATCACTAACTTGGAAAAGATATAAAAAGAAATTACAACAATGAACTGAAACCCATCAGTCTATTTAGGTTGGGTTCTAATAGCATGGCCACCAACATGTGCAGACGAAAGTACATTCAGGGATGCAATTACAACCAGTCACATCTATCTTTCTTTTTCATGCAAGGGTTTGTGCGCAGCGATACATTAAAAATCTTGCCATCTATCTCTGCAGACTCTAGCCTTCACTCAAACTTAAGGCAAGCCAGGACAATGGCTTGCACTATAGCAGCTGACCGAAACCACTGGTAAAACTCATTTTGACTTCAGATAGAAGCAAAAAGTCACATTAAAGAGGCTACCAAGAAGCTTTAAAGACAAACAAAAAATGGGTGTGAACAGAACCATTCAATTTGAACCAACTACATCTTTATCTTACTTTGCGCTACCTCTCTATAACACTGTGGCTCCAATAGTGTGTAAGTTACGTTTACTGACATAAAATGAGTACAAAATGATATATGCACTTGACGGAATTTTAGCTTCAAACACTCTAACTGATTGACACAGAATAAATTGCAATAGCACAAAAAGTAGCAGCATGACTAAGCTTCGAACAGTTTCCTTGCTGAAGACAAAAAAGAAATCACTTCTCTTCTCTGTCCCTCGCTACTCACTCACTCTGGCTTCTCCGACACCCAGCTACTCAGATGGTCAGTGCATGAGGAGGACTCTTTCACAGGCTTCAGGGACAGTGAATAGTGCAGAAGACGGGTGGAAGGCTGGCAAAGATGCACACCCTTTAGCAGTCTGTGTTTCCGCCATTTTTATGAAATATGCTTCGAATGGAAGTCATCCTCACTATCAAAGTAAGCGTACTATCTGTCCTATTGACAGCTAATATATGTCCATCCCTTCGCCTACTGGGGACCATGCAAGCTCCATGGTGAGAAGCAGGATTTTCCCCCTCTGGCAGCTGCCAAAACTTATTTTGCTTAGACAGGAATTATCATGATAAGGAGCTCACAAAAAAAAAGATCAAAATACTCGGAATTCTATCCATTGTGTTAAAGTAAAAGAGAAAAGGAAAAACAAAATACGGTGCAAGAAAGAAAAGCAATAGGAAACAAAAAGTTCAACAGGAAATGGAAGGAAACGAGTGGAAAGGGAAAAGAACTGAGGAGAAAGACTGACAGCACAAAAGAAACACACACATATTCATATATACATGAATATACCAAATGGATCAACCTTTTCAGCTCTTAATGTAGTGTTGATACATATATACTAGCAAAATTTAAGGTGGAGATTGTATGCTTTCTTGGCAAACACATTAATTTTACATCCTTATGGTCTAAACTGTCTTTGCTAAACAATATTGTAAAATCGGACTAGTGAAGAAACAAATACTGAATCACACCAGTTAAAGACAGAAAAAAATCCCTTTACAGAAAAAACTCGTTTTAGCCTAAAAATCATGTTGAGTAAAACACAATATTATTTAACAGTACTTATCCAAAATACACAATACTGCTATCTGGTATTTGCTTGAGTTTGGACAAGTTCTGTATTTCAGAATATTTATAATATAGAATATTCATTTTGCATTTTGCAACAAGAAGAATAAGAGAGAAGGGCAGACAGATGGAAGTCCAGAAAGGCAGGGACAAGGGGAGAGAAAGGGAAAATTACATAGTAAGCAAAAAAAAGGAAGATTTTTAAAGCTGACAACAGCGAAAAGAGGAAAGTAAGGTATATGGACTAGTTTTGCAAAGATTCAAAATCCATAGAGTTCTAAGATTAAAAAAAAAAAAAAAAGAAATAAGAATTAAAACATTCCAAAATTGTTGCAGTCATAGACACCTCCTCACTGAAGCTGAAAATAAGAGAGAGATGGGGAGAGAGAGAAGGAGAGGGAGAGAGAGAGATACACGCTCGCACTCTAAGACACATTTCTCGGACCTCATATAGGCAAAGCTTCTATAAGAAGCAATAATCTTGTCTGTACAAGGTCTTAGTATCTAGTCCAGTACAGAAGTGGGCATGACAGATGGACACACTGAGGGAAGAAAAGAAACAAGGAACAGGGCAGGGGAAAAACCACTTGGAAAACAAGCAGAGAAATACACATCAAAAGAGATTAATCAATTGTTTTTCTCAATTCTAAAAAACAATAGAACAATAAAAGCTGATCATGCTATCTGTTGATGAAATGTGTTAAAAATGATAGCCGTGCATTAACAGATAAAACAGGGACCTAACCAAAGTAAAGCAGAAAACTCAAATCCCTTAATTTCTATAGCCTAATTCCAACATTTTTGAGGAAACTAAAGGCTTATTTATATATGCATAATAAGAAGATAATCTTTTGTATTAAAAATGCTTAAAATAGACCTCAAGATCACACAGAAATATGTTACTTAAATATGCTATTATGATTAAAGTAAACAAAATACAAATGTTCTCGGCTAAACAGAAAATTAAAAATCAACTGTTTCTAGAGTAAGAATAGGTTTGCTTAATTATCATTTGCAGCTGAAGTTATCAAATGTATATATGTTCATTGAATGAAAATATGTGGCAGTATCATAGGAAAGAGTACCAAAGCAGCGACCCACATGGCCTTTCAAGACCACTTTTGTTTGGAATATATTTGAAAACTGCCACTGTCGCAGTCCCTACACTGGCAGAAATTCTCTTAAAATCAGTGGAACTCTTGCTGGTATAGGGACTGTAGAATCTTTAGCCGCAATTCAGCAAGGTACTTCAGCATGTGTTTCAAGCAGGACTTTGATAGTTAGACATACACTTATTTGCTTTGCTGAATCAGGGCGAATATGATCAGATTTTTCAAGGAATTTTTGTTTCCATCTCTTTTTTTGTTGTTGTTATTTATTTGAAGATAAGAAATGTATGTTAAATATATAGGTTTTATAAAAAATATTTTTAAAATCATTTTATCATTTTTTTAAAATTACCAGAAGACAACCATTGGCCTAAATATCTTGCCCCTGAGGTCCATCGGCACTTACACCTTCCCCTTCAGAGAGAATACATTTAGGCCAACGTCCTGCACGAGCCTTGCTGGCGGTCATTAGGCTTCGAATGGACAGAACCCTCCTCCTTTCGACAAAACACATTCAGAAACCCTCCAAAGGCATTAACACTTGTGTCTGCGCGTACACACTCGAGCGATGCAATCTGCGTGTGCGATTAAGACATTCCCCTGGGGCAGTCACTTACTAGAATTACTGCTGTCATCCTTGGTTCCATCGAGACTTCCATCGGGGTGCATTTGCAAGTAGTAGCCTTGCCTGCAATATAACCTGGTCACTATACCCTTGAGCTGGGGATCTGAAAGACAAACATATTTTGTCACTAGCCTCAAAACTTTTTCCAAGAGTTATCCCTACTTCTCTCACTGTAGGAGGAAGTTTGGTGAAGCAGCATTGCCGTCTTAAAGGTAAGTACTAAAACAGGATGGGTCCTGATGGAGATGAAGAAAAATCTCGCCGCAGAATATTATTAGGCCAGTTGCATGTCCTGTTCTCTGCCTCCAACATCCTTCATTATAATTAACACAGGTAAAAACAGAGAAAAAGAACACCCCGAACACCCATAGTCAAAAGACTTAAACCAGATTAAGCCCTGCAAAAAAATTTTAGACTTCAGCAACAAGTACAGAGCCTTACAGAAACTAACAGAACATTTAAAAAACCCTACTCATTTCATACATGTTAGTAACTTACTATACTTCACAGAAGTTTTAAGGACACTTGGAGGAAAAGGTCTGTCTCCTTTCACTCTCTACCAAAAGTAATAAACTTATCTGGTATAATATTTTGTAACAGTCCCATCTGAAGAGTTCCCAAAATATTTTACCAATCTAGAAGCGGATACAATTCACCTGTCCTCTCCCACCCCCAGGTAATAACACCCACAGTCAGGGCAAGACATAACCCTCCTTTAACAGAAGAAAAAACCTGAAAAAACCCTTAGTAAGCTAAAAGTTTATGGGAAATTCAAGTAGCTGAACACTTAAGCCAACCTGTTTAATACTCTGCATTTATGAAAATTGCCAAGAATTGGGCAGGAGCTGCCAAGCCACAACTTTATGATTCATCTCACGGATGGCGCCTTACCAAATCACAAATGAAGCTGGTGCAGAACTAGTTCAGTGCTGAGGAAGAGGACATCGCATCTTAAAAAAATCAACAGCACTACCTCTGTGTGATATTGGTATTAATATTGTTAAACATAAACTATTAGGCCCATCTCCAGTCAGCCAGTACATAAACTTGTGGGGACATTGGCATAAGCATGTCGTATCATGCTTAGCTCTGCAATAATGAACTAAAATCATAAAGACTTTGAGACAGATATGTAATAAAATGAACAGGTGAATTTCTAAGGAAGACAGAAATTATTTCCATGCAACCCTGTGGCCAGAATATCAAATCCTCCTTGAATTTGTGTATAATTGCTCTCACAATCAATCATGCTGGGTTACTTACAGTCTCCTAAGGGGAGGTGAAAATAAACACTAATAAACAAAACTGCCTCTGAGTGGAATGCTCTGAAGTTTTCTATAGAGGCTCAGTTCCATGAAATGATTATGAAAATGTTAAGTTTTTCTTGAATATCCAAATTACAAAGTCATCGTAAACAATAAACCCCAATAAATCTAAATTAAAAATGTAAGATTAAACTGTAAATATCATAAAAACTGTTACTATAAATATTAACACTGTAAGATTTTTAAGGAATGGAAATAAATGGTATAAACATTTGATGATCAACATGTAAGCACATTACAACTTCATTTTTTTTCTTTTAACTGCAAATTTTGCTTTCCGTGAATTTTTACATTAGCAAAGTTTTTCTGTCTTTATAAAAGAATACTCAAAACCAAATATTTTCAAAAATTTATAAACAGAATAAACTGTATTTTCTTTGAATGTCCTGTCTCAATCGACTTCATCAGGCAACTCAAAAGTATTTTCATAACTTAAAAATGAAAAGTGAGTTCCTCTAAGACAGGCACTATTCCTATCAACACATACTTTTAATGTGCACTTCCAAATTAATGATTTTAAACATACTTCCTTTACACATATTAAAATGGCATCTTAAGAGACTAAAGAAAAATATTTTAAAAATATTATTAGAACTAGAGCTTTCAAAAGTATTTACAGGAAAAATATCAGTATTTTGAAAAACAGTTTTAACACCCAAAGAATCATGAATAAATGATTCTTTATTACCACTTCTAGCTCAAAGAAATATCATAGGAAGGCAAAGTACAGTCAACTCACTATCACCACCTGTTTACATCTACTGCTTCAAGGGAAAAATGTGAAACTTAGAAGTGACTTTCAAAGTTGTTCTTTATACTCATTCTATTCATTTTTCTAAATTCACAAATAAAATCTACTTTCTAATAAGAAATTGCATAATCATTTGTCTATGTTTTCACCAAAAGCATTATTTAAAGTTAACCCTGCTTCACCAGCTCTCCAAAATTATACCTCAATGAAAATAATTTGGTGGATAGCTATGCATTTCAGGTAGCATTTCAGGCTGTGTGTGATGAGACAGGGTATGAATCCCCCGTTTATTTGTTCACGCAAGTCCAAACTCAGCAAAATAATAACTATTATAGCATGAGACCAGACGATCCTAGTCATGTGTTATATCTCACTTGTATACAATTTTAATAGTTTCATTTGTCAGAGAACTGAACAAAACAGTTCCAAAACATGATGGCTCTTTCACTTGAACATTTCATTGAAAACTGGAATTTACTACTAATAATGTGATACTAATTAATATTTTCATTGTGCAAAGTAGATCTCTGTAGACTAATAAATGGCAAAAAAAAGTCTTTTTTCCCATGAAATGAAGCAACTGAAACTTTCTTTTTACTTATTTCCTGTGGATTATTAGAACCCGTTTTGCCCACCCTCCTAAGAACATCTTTTCTACCTTAAGTTCCTACCTGTCCTTAGCAAGATTAAAACTTTTATTCCTGACAGGTAATTTAATCATGCATTTTTTGCTAATTCTTGATCATAATATTTACTTAATATATATCACAGCACTTTGGATCTACGAATCAAAGTAAGTAACAACTAAATGTTTTAGCTGAACAGTGCTCAAAAAAACGGGGGAACTGGACAATAAGACATGGTATTTCTTTGATCCTAGCCAAAACCCAACCCAGATTTAGTGATGGAGTTGTATGAAATGACTCATTAATCTCAATGCAAGTCATAATAAGCAACAGTCAAAAAGACTACTCCATACAGCCTCAAGGTAAATATCTCCAAGATGAAGCAGACAATCCTGTCAGGCAAGGAATTTATCTCTTCTCCTTGCAGAAAGATAAATGACTCTTTCAGGTCCTTTTTGAGACACTTGGGCAGCAAGCAGAGAAGAGAAATCCGCTAGTCCCTGTATTTCTATAGTGTTTTATCTACCCATTGTCACTTAATACTACTACAGGAACAGTCTCAGCTTCAGATGCTTTACAAATGAGTTTCTCAAATCCTTCTAGACCACACTTTTTTTTTTTTTTACTGTCTGCTAGAAAGCAGGAGCCACCAGCAATGCCCAGAAACACCAGCAGAAGACTGATGCTGCCTGTCCGCAGGTGCACTGTATACGTTATGTTTTTTAACTCCCACCGCAGTGATACAGGTAGACAGACCAGCAATTACTCTTACCCTTTACACCCCACACACGCCTTTTTCTTCCCACATGAAAGAGAAAGGGAATGGCAAGAGAATACAGCAAAATAAAAAACCACAAATGAATAGGATGAGAGTAGACGACCTCACCAGAGTTCCCAGCTCTCACGGTTTTTTTATTGATATTTTACTAGTAGTTCTCTTAAAGTCCTAGCTGCCACAGTGAGGTGATTATGTGAAAAATACCGTTTCTATTTAATTTTAAACACCTTGACTTCAGGGGGAAAAAAAACCAAAGCAGCAAACTTCACCATGGATCAAAATCAAAGGACAGTTCAACATCTAATGATTTTTATTGATCTTATTTTGCACCTTGACTTCTGATATTGAACAGTTCAGCGTGACAAGTCTGCAATGCCCCACCATGGAAAGAATTATTCTCACTTGTAGCTGTTAGAGGTTGTCGTTAAAAATTCAAAGACGACGTACTGAATGGACAAAGCAACAGCTTCTCAAGCCTCTGTTCCACAGCAACCTGCATGACAGCAGCCACTTGCAGCCCGCTTTTATTGCTTTTTTCCCTTGTCAGTGGCAACGGCAGGATGCATGATTGCAGTTAGCATGCACACTCTGTCAGTAGCTTTTCTGATGTCCTCAACAAAGGCGGAGTTTAATTAAGATATCTTCTCTTCTCCCTTGAATAGTGGCTACAAAAACGTCTTTGGCATTAACTCATGACAAGCTGAGTGCAGCTCTTGCCTTAGAACAATTATGACACTTTATGTTTTGAATTAAGAATATGTTCTGTTCACAGACAGAATGGTTTTAGCATCTCCTTCCCCACCCCCACATGGTGCCAGGACAGATCTCTTTAGAAATTTTATAGGTTTAAAATAAACAAGGGGACAAACTCATTAAATACAGGTGATAAGGATTTTACCTTTGTGTTCAGACATAGATGAATTTACAATGCTAGAAGAACAATAATGAATATGCCCACTGTATTTTAACACCATGAAAAATGAATCCCTCAGCATTCACTGGAGTTTTAATTTTTTGTTCTTACCATAGGAGGGCTTTTTTCGGCCTGTCATTATTTACTTACTCCCTCTTTTGAGTAAAGGTACTAAATAAAAGCCTGTTTGAGCTGACAAGCAAATGCTTAATGGTGGGTTAGTCTCATATCAACTCACATTCTTACGGAGAATAACCTGCACTATCCAGTCCATCACCAGCCTGTCACAAAATGAGTTGTTCAGCGAGTCAAATGAAAGCCAGTATTTAGAGGTACATTCTGCTCAGATAGCATAGCATCAAACTCATGTTAACAACCGGCAGCTCCAGGTCCTTCACCTTTTACTTGCCCTTTATTCTTTGCATTTCCTTCCCGCAGTTTTTACTTTTGGATATTTCAGTACTAAAAATACCACTGATGCTCGTCCAGAATAAATCAGGCATCTTTTTTTTTTTTTTTAAGATTTCTGGTGCTCCAATAGTCACTATGACTTGACTGTCATTTCTTGCTCGCTGATGTTAGGATTAGCATTTGTTAGGAATCTTCTCCCTCATCTATTAAACTTTATTTGAAATATCAAAAACATTTATAATCTGTATTAGGATTAAAAAAAGGTCAAACCCCCCAAAAGCTGCAACCCCCAGATTTCT